TACACCTCACTACTTTTATTAATTTTAAATTTTTATAAATTTATTATTTATTTTTTTGCATAAATATCGGCTGAGTATTATTAAACAGCTCTTCACCAATTTTGTGATACCAATCAGTTTCATTAAAATTTACTGTGAAATTTCTTTTGTGCAAATAAGTTAACAACGCTTCATTTTATAGGTTGAGCAATTATTAATTCTAATTGAGAATTTGATGAGCATTTGTTTCACAACTGAAAATTCGCGGTAACTCATGATCATAATTCTTTTTTTCACATGTAATAATGATTGAAGTCAGAAGTTGTCAGAAGTGATCTAGGCTACTCCTTAACTATTTATTGGTTATAACAATTCTATTTATTATGAGCAATTGAAAATAATTTCATGCGGACGAAGTGGAGGTGAAATCTAGTTAAAATTGTATAACTGTTCTTAAAGTGATCTAAGATATATTTGAAAGTTTGCAAATTACACAAAATTCAGTTTAATGAATACATCGTACATTTTTAATACGTGCTGTCCTCTATATTAAGTTCAGTGATACTATCGTGTTCACCGTTCTCCTTCTTTTCTTTTCACTTAGGTGGTTCCGTCCTCGTTCTTTTACGGGGAGTAGGCCATTGTTAGATTTTGTTAATTTTGACCTTGCTAGAACTATCAAGAAACATCCAAAATGGTAAGTTTATTTTTAATGTAATATTAAAATATTTTTATTTATTATCGTTTTCCAAACGTTCTTCCACTAGTATTTTACTAATTTAAGCGATGTTGTCGTGACAACGTGTGAATGAATTGCACAACATTATGAACGCTGCAGCTGTTTCATTTATTTAGATATTTGCCATACAGGCAAAAAGTCAAAAAGGAGTTTAACTTGAGTGTTTTATTATAAGTGAACTTTGTGTATATTAAAAAGACCGGTATTATTTAACTATAACTAAATAAAATGGTATGTAGTTTAATGCTTGCAGTCTTAAAATTCTTGCTGTTTCTTTAGAAATAACGTAATTGTTAATTTAATTTTTAGGTGAATTTTACTGTAGACGAAATTCGTACAATGATGGACAAAAAACGGAATATCCGTAATATGTCCGTCATTGCACACGTAGACCACGGCAAATCTACATTAACGGACTCTTTGGTATCAAAAGCTGGAATTATTGCAGGCGCTAAGGCAGGAGAAACAAGATTTACTGATACACGAAAAGATGAACAGGAACGTTGCATCACTATCAAATCAACGTAAGTAGTTTTTTAAATTGATTAATCAAATAGTAAAAATTAGGTGCTCTTCAATAGTATTTGGGTATACTATTTACCAAATAAAATTTTATGAAAAATTCCAACTAAACATTTTGGATTTTCTAAATTAAATTTTACATTGAATTGTTGAATACTAATTTGAAGATATCTGCTTATTTAATATAATAGCGTTTTTAAGTGATGATTGTTCATTCACAGACCTGTTCTGATTGATTTTGATGACATAAGAACGGCCAACTGATTTAAACTGGAAATTCCTTCCAGTTTGCTTGTGAAAGGACACCTCATTATTTTCTTTATTGTTACAGTGCCATTTCTATGTACTTTGAACTTGATGATAAAGATTTAGTGTTCATTACTAATGTAGACCAACGTGAAAAAGATGAAAAAGGTTTCTTAATCAATTTAATAGATTCTCCTGGACATGTAGACTTTTCATCAGAAGTAACAGCTGCACTACGTGTCACTGATGGTGCCCTTGTTGTTGTTGATTGTGTCTCTGGTAAGTCGTATTTGTTTCAATTAATCAGTAAAAACTGATATAGAAGTCACAATTTTGTGTAAAATTTGTTTTTAATTAAAAGAATTTAGTATTAGATAGGTAGTTGTTCATTCTGGTATACATATATTTTATTGTCTTCCTGCACAAACGTACCACTTCAAAATCCTTTTTGGAATAGGTTTTACTATCCCACAGGATAATGATGACGTTGGTAGTGCATAGGAAGAAGAATAAACTTGTGTTTGTATTTAAATGCTGTCGTGGGACCTCTATCTTTATGTCTAGTGATGACAAGCTACGATATTAACACAACATAATGATTTATTCCCTTTTTATTTAACAATATTTTTTTAAATTAGAAATGAAATAGTAATGCTTAATTGTTTCTAATTACTCACTATTTCACAAGAAGTGCCTTACTCAAGGAGTGTATTTTGATGTTCTTTTATTTTTTTAATACTAAAAATAAGTTATACTTATCATCCTCATCATAAGCTCATCAGTCCTAAGACTGGTTGGACACGTACTTATTTAACATTTCTTAAACTAAATTATAAATTGTGTTGTATTATTCATTTCAACAAGTTTATATCCTTATAGACCTTGTTAAACATTTTTGAATTCCACTAAAGTTATATACTATAACTGGCGTTTACCACCCTGTTTGCAAAGAATTTAAATAGGTATGTTCTGTTAATACATTATTGATGTTTTTTAAATTTTTGCACTACATTTTCAGCTTTGAAAAATTAAAAACTACAACGATATATAAGACCTAAATTGTTGTAGGATTAAATTTAATGCGTTAGTGAATTAATTTTTTAATTAACTTTACCCACTGCAGATAACCATATATTCATGAAGAAAAATTGTTGCCGCTGTCACTCTCGCCGGGAGTTGAACCCGGGCCCCTGATTCTTATTATAAAAGTCCTTATAAAATAACAACTAGATTTTGAAAATTAAAACATATACGGGATATTCTATTTTAATAAGAAAGTTGATGGCTACCTCTGTTATAACCGGAAATGTTACAAGAATGGCATTATTTTATTTAAAGAGAGCACCTCCGAAAACCTTCGAAGCAGACACCCTTTACACTATATATGTATGTATAATCTCACGATATACATACGTACGTACGTATGTGTCGCGAGGAAACCACGTCTTCACGCTGTTTTTCAGCTTTGAAAAATTACAAACTACGACGACGTGTTATAGAAATCCTTCATGTAAGATTAGGAGCAGAAGGAGTTGTTTAAAAGTTGTCAGCAAATATTTCATGTATGATTGGGTTGAGAGTGAGAGGGAGTTGGACAGGAGGGAATTGTTTCAACCTTGTACATATTTTTTAACTCCCCTTAACCTAACCTTCCCTGAATTATTTGCGAGATAACGTTAATAGTTTTTAAGTGGTGTAAAAATTTAAAAAACATCAATATTACATTAGATTGAATTCTTAGTAATTTCTAAGACCAAAAATCCGCCAAATGGAATAGTCCCTTGAGAAGCATAAATCAAAGTAGATAAGACAGTCCATAAAGAAAGATAAGTCATAGTTCACATTTTTGTAAAATCTTATTAAGAATCCAACTATTCTTTAGAAATAACAATTTAGTATGCTTGTTAAAATAAAATGATTTAAAAGTTCCCCAGATCAAATATTTCTCTAATCCATTATAGGTATTTCAAAAACATGTTGGGTAACTACCGAATTATAATAGGGCCTATTTCAAGAAGTAAACCTCATAAGTCTTTTATCTCAGGGATGTATACTTTATGGGTTTTATCTTTGTGTTACAACCAATAAAGTTAAATCAGGATTTGTATAACCTAGGCGAAATCCGTACAGCTAGCAGTTACATTACTTTCAGTATAGTAAAATTATATAATTTCTTTTTCATTATCTTTGCACGCCAATTACATCAAACTGGACAAAAACAATAGGCGAAGTTAACATTATTAATTAATTTTATTCATATATAATTTTCATATTGAATAAATAAAGAATTATATTTAGAGCAAAATTTTTCATATTTTAAGGTGTATGTGTACAGACAGAAACTGTCTTACGTCAGGCCATAGCTGAAAGAATAAAGCCCATATTATTCATGAACAAGATGGACCGTGCGTTGTTGGAACTCCAACTGGAAGCTGAAGAATTGTATCAAACTTTCCAACGTATTGTTGAAAATGTTAATGTAATTATTGCCACTTATTCTGATGACAGTGGCCCTATGGGAGAAGTCAGGGTGAGTAAATTTGCTATAAAACCCATTAAACATACATTTTGAGTCTCTAAGAATTTGGTAATGATTTGAAATCCTACCAAAATTGTTTGACTCATAGACAAATCGTCATATTTTGCCCTGCAAAGAGGTCATGTATATTAACTTTGCAGTTTCCTAGAATGACCACAAATTTTCTATTCACTAATTGCTCTCTTTAACACTTTCAATCTTTCTAATTTTCTTAAAAATATTTTTATTATGTCAGGTTGATCCTAGTAAAGGTTCAGTAGGTTTTGGTTCAGGTTTGCATGGCTGGGCTTTTACACTTAAGCAGTTTGCTGAAATGTACTCAGAGAAGTTCAAGATCGACGTAGGGAAGCTAATGAACCGTCTTTGGGGCGAGAACTTCTTTAACGCGAAAACTAAGAAATGGGCTAAACAAAAAGAACCTGATAACAAACGGTCCTTCTGTATGTATGTTCTAGATCCAATCTATAAAATTTTTGACTGCATCATGAACTACAAGTAAGTTGCATTTCTATTCAGTAAAATTGCATAATTGCCGATGCAATTTTTTTTTTATGTTTAATGTTTAATCTTTTCTAAAGGAAAGAAGAAACCGAGGCACTTTTGCCAAAGCTGAATATTACTTTGAAACATGAAGACAAAGATAAGGACGGCAAACAATTACTGAAGGTAGTTATGAGGACGTGGTTGCCAGCAGGAGAAGCCTTACTTCAAATGATTGCCATTCACTTACCATCACCTGTTGTCGCTCAAAAATACCGCATGGAAATGTTGTATGAAGGACCCCATGATGACGAAGCAGCACTTGGTATCAAAGTAAAGAAATAATGTGATTCCCATTTTTTTTTGTCTTATTTCAACTTTTTCTTTCAGAATTGTGACCCTAATGCGCCCCTTATGATGTATGTGTCAAAAATGGTACCGACCTCTGATAAAGGACGTTTCTACGCTTTTGGTCGAGTATTTTCAGGAAAGGTGGCAACTGGTCAGAAAGCACGCATAATGGGCCCTAATTACACTCCTGGAAAGAAAGAAGACCTGTATGAAAAGGCTATTCAACGTACCATCCTTATGATGGGACGTTATGTTGAAGCTATTGAAGATGTTCCATCAGGCATGTATAATTATAATAAGTACAACTGAAAATAGTAATTAATTCTTATGAAAACTTTTTTCTAGGAAATATTTGCGGTCTGGTCGGTGTAGATCAATTTTTAGTTAAAACTGGTACAATAACCACTTTTAAAGATGCACACAACATGAGAGTCATGAAGTTTAGTGTATCTCCTGTTGTTAGAGTTGCTGTAGAACCCAAAAACCCTGCAGATTTGCCAAAACTTGTTGAAGGTAAGTTTCTTTAATGATTTTTATAAATAATCAGTTTAGAACTTTCAGTTCAAAATTCATTGTAAAACATTTTCGTTACTAATAGAATAATATAAAATTAAAATACTTGGCTAAGCTTCAAGTTTATATATTTTTTTTTTGTTCTAACATGATGAATTTTGTTTACCGCCCCAGGCTGAAATTTAGATCTGTTGATTGGTTTTTCTGACAGTTTTTAATAATTTCTGCTGTAACATAATGTTTAATAAAGCATTAATTATTGTCCGCTTTTTCATTTTCCTTTACAGGTTTAAAACGTTTGGCTAAATCTGATCCTATGGTACAATGTATTATTGAGGAATCTGGTGAGCACATCATCGCCGGTGCAGGTGAATTGCATTTGGAAATTTGTCTTAAAGATTTGGAAGATGACCATGCTTGCATCCCTATTAAAAAATCCGATCCTGTTGTGTCGTATCGCGAAACGGTCAGCGAAGAATCGAACCAAATGTGTTTATCAAAATCTCCCAATAAACACAATAGACTCTTTATGAAAGCAATTCCGATGCCCGATGGTTTAGCGGAAGACATTGACAATGTATGTGGTATTAACTTATTTTAGATGTCAATGTTTTTATTTGCAAAAGATTTCTAAATTTATCAATGAAATGTGTTATTTCCAGGGCGACGTAAATCCCCGAGATGATTTTAAAGTGCGTGCTCGTTATTTGAGTGAAAAGTACGACTACGATGTTACAGAAGCTCGTAAAATCTGGTGTTTCGGTCCTGAGGGAACCGGACCTAATATTCTGGTTGACTGTACTAAAGGAGTTCAGTACCTGAACGAAATTAAAGATTCTGTCGTTGCTGGTTTCCAATGGGCTACAAAAGAAGTAAGTGCAGTATTTTTAATTACGTTTCATTTACTTTCTCTAGAGTCCTGAAGTTTAGCTTTTATCTGCGCAAAAAAAAAACGGTAATGATCCAGAAAGGAAGGACGCAACCTGAAGTCAAACTCGCTACTGGTAACAAGCGTACATACATCAGGCGTTAGTTACTAAAAAAGGAAAGTACTTTTTACGAGCAGTAAGGATCATTGTAGTAGCTTATACATATGTGTATTTAAAAACTCCCGCAAAGTTTTAATGCAAATTGGAAAATTGATATTATTTAGCAAAAAGAAATGACTTCTTTGAACAACTTCACAGTCTAATATTTGTTTGAATGTAAGAGAAGTTTGCAAACTGACGTAAAGTTTTGTTACCTATGCAACTTGGAACAATTTTTTTACAGTCTGCCAATCACAAAATGTACTATGTCTAAAACTATTAGCATACTTATTAGAGTAGTTTAAACTGTCGGTAGAATATAATTTTTTGGCAATCTTTTAGTCTTTCCTTTTACTTTTCAATATTTAAGTTATCGAATAGACAAAACTTATAACGAATGACGATTTTGTGTGAGTACGAACATCAATATTGTATTAAAAAAATCTTAAAAATTGACCTTTGATAAAATTTATAACAAATGAAGCTGCCATTTTTGTTTTTTAATGTGTACATTACATACAAAGTAAAGCTTTTTGAAACGTGTGATGGACAACAAAACTGCAAGACTACAAATTTGCACGTGTACATTAAGAATTCACATTTAACATACTGTTTTTAGTACTGTAACTACTATACAGGGTGTAACGTTTATAACCAAGAAAAAAAAATTGCAGTCGAATTACAATTAAAAACGCTAGTCGTCTTTGTAAATTTGAACTTAGCAATAGGCGATGTGTATACCAATTCGTTTACATGACCCCACAAGTAAAAATCGAAACCCACCGTCAAGAAAACATTCTGTTCAAATACTCTCATGTTGAATGTGTACTATGTGGGGGTTGTCTATCCTGAAGATACCACATCGATGTCCGTACAGATAATGATGTGTATTCTGTACGCGAAGAAACTTGTTGTTCTAGTGCAATTTGGCAAATGCTCCTCGTGATGGTATTCTTCAAGAACTTGCACGATCGCATCTTCTCTTTCACAATCAAAATTAAGTTACCGCCTACGCCTCTTATCCATCACGTAAATACTGTACTACACACACCGTTGATTGAGGCTACCCCTTCCGATAAAGCCGCCATACCGCTAGTGCATTTTCTTTAGCTGCACCGTAACGCAACACCATATCTGTTAATTCCATGAAGTTGTGAAATGAGCTATGTTCAGCAATTTCTATCACTTAGAAGTTAGACATTTCCTTAAATAAATAAAAACATATTTTTTGAGTAAGTTTATCAAAATTCTGTATTAAAAGTGTATCGTAACCGCCGAAATTGAAACATTAAATTTGAACTTCATAATTAAATAAATGGAAAATGGGATACAAACTATTTTAATGTACGTTAATGCATTTCAATGAATGAAATTATTAATTTTCAATTCGCTTTAGTCAAACAGTTTATAACATCAATGTAAAGTTCGTTTATAAACAATAATTTTGATAGGTAATTTTTATAGCATACTGTTTACTTTTAACAAAACATCAATAATAACTTAACACCACTTTAAATAAATTAATGAATAATTAATGCCAAACGGAAAACACATGTGATTGCGACTATTGACCCTGAATTTTTGTATAACGGTTATGTATTACTCATACCTATCTTTCTCTACACTGGAACTGTAAGGAGTTGTCAGCGCCGCCATCAAAATTACAATTTTTTAATTTTTTTTTGTTTCTACAGCCAAAATTGTTATTACGTTATTATAAACGCCACACCCTGTATAATTTGGTTAAGTGTATGGACAATTATGCTTAACAAACGAGAGCAGAGAATATAATGAGTTCTATACCCCTACCTACAGTTTTGTCATTGTGCATTTAACACATTGGAGGAGACACAGCTGTAGAGAAGTGAAGAATACTATAAAAATGTTTTAAATTGCTATTTAAATAGTATGTTTAATATTGTTTACTGAAAAAATGAATTAATTTTTGAGTTAATCTTACCCACTACAGATAACTTCAAATTAATGAGACAAAAATTGCAATTAACGCTATAAAATTTCAAAGTATCTCATTGTTTACTGAGTTTTTTTATTATATTTTTTAGGGTGTTTTGGCCGAAGAGAACTTACGTGGTGTTCGTTTTAATATCTTTGACGTCACACTACACGCCGATGCTATCCATCGTGGTGGTGGTCAAATCATTCCAACGACGCGTCGTTGTCTGTACGCATGTTTGTTAACTGCATCGCCAAGACTTATGGAGCCAGTGTATCAGTGCGAAATTCAATGTCCTGAAACAGCCGTTGGTGGAATTTACGGTGTACTGAACAGACGTAGAGGGCACGTGTTTGAAGAAGCCCAAATTGCCGGCACCCCCATGTTTGTCGTTAAGGCCTATTTGCCAGTCAACGAATCGTTCGGTTTCACAGCCGATCTACGTTCGAATACCGGAGGACAGGCGTTCCCACAGTGTGTATTCGATCACTGGCAGGTACTACCTGGTGATCCACTTGAACCAAGCAGCAGACCCTACAATATTGTACAGGTAAACTTTTCAAATGTAATTTACCAACTTTTACACTAAATTCTTGAAGTATTCGTATATAAGAATATTGTGTGCTTGTGTATTGTACAGTTCTGGTATAGCAAATACCTACTATAGATTCTATTACATGTATTTCTAAAAATCAATTATATTTTCATATGTATATTGATGGATGGATGAAGGCACAATATTAGCCTATACTATATACGGAAAATAGAGTAAANAAGGTTGAAAAACAAATATCCTTGATTTCTACTTACCTCTGGAGGTTCGATAGCTCTTTCAACAGCCTCAGACATTATAAAAAATGCAATGAACAGTAAAAATAATCCATTTACAAAGCCTGCAATTACTTCTGCTCTTACATAACCGTATGAATACTTATCATTTGCTTTCCATTTCGTAATTACTGAGGCAGCTAACCCAGCCAATAATCCTGTACAGTCAAAAAACATATGGAAAGAGTCCGAAATTAGACCTGAAATTAATACTATTGTTAGACAAAACAAAATATTGAAATAAAAGTTTTATTCAAATCTTTCAGTTTAGTTCTAACTTACCCAAGCTGTTTGACCAAATGCCATATGAAAGTTCAACAAATGCAAATGATAAGTTAAGAAGTAAAAATAGAAAAAGGTTTTTCGAATTTCGGTCAGAAAATATTAATCTTAACCAGCCATTAAACTTTTCTTTAACTTTAGAACCCAGACTTCTACTCAATAAAGTATCCCTTTGCGATAAAGGCAACATTATTTTTTTTCTTGATATAAAACTATTAGCAGGCTTGCCTAACACTGATTGCGTAGAATTTACGACATTATATGTATTTGATTTAAAAACTATCTATTCCACATATTGATACTAATAAACTAGGTTAGGTCCACGTGTATTACTTTACGTTGGGTTTTAATTTACCCATTAATTTGTTTTAATCACTACTGACTGACTGATGTATACGATTAACTTCATAATTGTATACAGTTTTGTAGATACAATTAATTTAGATAACAAAGCCACACCGGCTAAAAATAATAAAATAGTTTGTCAAAACACGTCATGTCAAATATGCTATAATGTATATCTACCACAATATCTACATAAAAACATGGGATACATGAAAATACTATGCATTATGGTATTCAATGGTATTTGATGTAAAAATACAATAATAATAATCATAATTCTTGAAATCTATGGTTGTAATTGTCTATAATTATCTATGTCATGATCTATGTCCATTCTATGTCTATAATCGAACATGTAATTGAATCGAGTCATCGAATTTACATACGTATGTCGAAGTTATTCTATAAAATTCAGGAGTTTCATTTATAATTAAAAAACAAAAAAATTGGCATTTTTTGAACAATTTCTTACTATATATATATATTATATATACAACTCGCATATTCGAGTGTAGCCTTTCCTACCGTAACTAAGGTAGTTTTCCAATTACAGAGCAAGAGCATGCATTATGCTGAGTCGCATTGACTCAGTGCCGCACCCATAGATAATAGATACACAAAGGGTATACATGGCCGCACCATGCCGAGGTGTACTGGTATTTAATCGGAATGTGTATTAGTTTTCAAGTGCGCCAACAGAGTACACTAATGTCAGTGTTGAGAAAAAAAAGCAGTCATCGACTTAGCAACCTTATTAATGTACTTTTAATGGGAATGGTATACAACAACAATAATTATTAGTCGAAAGCTTTTTCTAAATACTATAATTTCGATTTTTATTATTTCAATTATATTTTTTTGTGCGCATCGGACTAGGCAGTACTTTTCAAAGAGCTCAACGGTGCGAGGCGTTGCTGTAGTTGGAATACTGGATGATGCGCATAATGCCGCATTGTGCGCTCTAGTGCTCTAATTGGAAAACTACCTTTATGCTCCCAAGCAGCGCCGTTTACTAATGGACATGCCTTAGCGATCAGAATTGTGGTACAACAAAAGAAAGATGGAACGAAGTTTCGGACAATATCCATCTCTCTCACGATAGTGCGTAAGCGTGTCATGAAAGAGATAGCACAAGTCCGAAACCATACGCTATCTCTCTCACTTTTTGAGCCAAGAAATTACTACGACATAGATATAAATTAATGGACGTGCCTTAGCCGTATGTGGTTCTAATAATTTCTTGGCTCAAAAAGTGAGGGAGATGGCGTATGGTTTCGGACTAGTGCTATCTCTTTCATGACACGCTTACACACTATCGTGAGAGAGATGGATATTGTCCAATACTTCATTCCATCTTTTTCTTTTGTTGTACGACAATCTGACCTATAAGGCATGTCCATTAGTAAACGTCGATGTCCATTAATATATGTCTATGCTCCCAAGTATATCCGTCAAGTCATTAGTAAAAATAAACAAATTATTCATATAAATATCCGACAACTGCAAAAGATGTAAAAATAAAATAAATTGTAAAGTTATGTTGCTAATTTTTATTTGTTTAAGTTCATTATGTTCTTTAATTGTTGTTAATAAATATATTAGGAGAGAGGTGTATTTTTAAAATAAAACTTATCAAAAACTAATTCTTAACAAACATAAAATAATTAAAATTGCATCAACAAACCATCAACGAATGAGATCTGTAATATGCAAATGCATATAATAAGTAAAAAAAAATAATTTTTTTGCCAACTTCACACAAACGAATATGAAGATCTGACACAAAGCGTTCGGTTGGCGCTTGGACTACTGATGATTTCACCTACTATGGTCAGGCCATAGATACACCAGGCCAGGGCATAGGGCGTTACACCTCACTACTTTTATTAATTTTAAATTTTTATAAATTTATTATTTATTTTTTTGCATAAATATCGGCTGAGTATTATTAAACAGCTCTTCACCAATTTTGTGATACCAATCAGTTTCATTAAAATTTACTGTGAAATTTCTTTTGTGCAAATAAGTTAACAACGCTTCATTTTATAGGTTGAGCAATTATTA